CATTATTTCTTTCCAAAATTTTTTAAAGGAAGAGGAATAATAAACAGCATAGAAATGGACTTATTTTTCCACAAATTGAAAATGGGGCAGGGTAGGCACTGTGGTGTAGTGGGTGAGGTGGCTGCCTACAGTGTCAGTACCCCATATGGGCACTGGATCAAGTCCTGGCTGCTCCTCTTCTGATCCAGCTCTCTGCTACAGCCTGGGAAAGCAGTAGAAGATGGCCCAAGTGTTTGGGCTCCTGCACTGCGTGGGAGACCCGGAAAAAGCTCCAGGCTCTGATTGGCCCAGTTCTAGCCGTTGCAGCCATTTGGTGAGTGAACCATCAGATGGAAGACCTCTCTCTCTTTGCCTCTGCCTCTCTGTAACTCTTCCTTTCAAATAAATAAATATTAAAAAAAAGAAAATGGGAAAGACAAAATTCTAGAATAATATATTCTGCTGATCTCGAGGTGCTTCCATAGCCTTGAATTCAAGGGTAAAGTACTCCCCAGCACTGCCCCGCCTCCCCCAACCCCAGGGATGTTCCACTGAGGGTGTCTGTCTACTGAGATGGGTTTTCTAGGGCATGTGATATAAAGGTGAAACTGTTTATTATGGAAACAAGCTTTGTCCTCTAAAACGTGCAGAAAGTTTTTTGGAGGATAAAACTCAAAACCTGGTTGTGGGATGGGCATTTTGCATGGCAGGTTAAGTCACTGTTTGGGATGCCCACATTCCATACTGGAGTGTTTGGTTCTAGTCTTGGCTACTCCATTTCCAATTCGTCTTTCTGCTAATGCATACCTTGGGAGGCAGCATATGATGGCTCAGGTATTGAGCCCCTGCCATCCACGTGGGAAGACCCAGATGGAATTCTAGTTTCTTGGCTTCAGCCTGGCACAGTTCCTGCTGTTACAGGTATTTGGGGAGGAAACTAGTGGATGGAAGATCTCTCTCTTAGTCCCTCTGCCTCTATCTTTCCCTGCCTTTCAAATAAAAAAACAAACAAAACCAAAACAATACAAAACCCCAAACCTGGTTGTAAGGACTGTCTTTTCTGATACTTCCAAGCAACAGGAAGACACATCAAATTTGTGGAGCTTATTAACTTTCCAGAAGAGATCCTAAGGCTGAACACAAGCTTGAAACCACCCAAGCATATTGGTTTTCCTCCTTTTACCTCTCAACCTTATTATTCTATGACTTTGAGCAAGCAATTTTACATTTAAAGATGTTTTCTCATCTTTAAAATAAAAGCAAGGTAACAGAATCTGTTATAGCTCCAGTGTAACAGAATTCTATATAAATGGTCTCAACCTTAATACTTAGGCTGCTAACTGGACAATCTTTTAGATTCTATTCTGGATTCCCTCCAATCCATTCAAACACTGACAATCACATCATTGTAGTGTTCAAAACTTACAGTAGCTTTCCCCTAATACATCACATTTTTCTTTTTTAAATTAAAATCCATCCTTTAATTCAGCCATCCTTTAATTTAGTCCTTTGCTGCACAGCACCCATCCCCCATCGACGGTCTGGTAGCACACTGCATTCGTTTGTCTCGGGGATTTTCTGCATGATTTCCTCTCTGCAAGCTCTTTTGCCTTCTACCTGTTCAACCAAATCCCTCTTCCACAAAACAACTCCCAAAGCATGCTGGCCTGCCCCTCAGACTGTCCTTGGGATTTCTCAGCAGTCATCAGCGGGACATCTACTCTGGGCTGCCATGTCATTGCTCTGTGCTATTCTTGCCTACCCAAATATAGCTGAAGCATTCAGTCAGAAAAATATACCCTAAAAATATACATATTCTCTCCTGATATCCCTTTACACACTAGCTGATACATGAAATACTGAAGTATGAACACACCTTCTCTTCATAATCTGGGCCAAATCTCTTACCAATAGCAGGATTACAGATTCACTTATTTCAAATAGTTTTTAAAGAAATGGAAGCACATAATATTGTCATGAATGTCCCAACTAAAATGAATACTCATTTGAATTATGAGGCATACTATGACATAAAAACCTACAACAATCTGATGCTAAACATAGAAGATGTTAATTTTAATGCCATTGCTATTTACAGTATTAAGGTAAAAGAAAAAGTCTTAAAATGTGACAACAAAGTCTTTGTGAGTGACTGAGTTTCCCATGCTCCCCACACCCCTGGCTGTGAATCCGTGCATAACCCATGGCTGTTCTCAACTGTGATCTCTTGACTCCTTACAAGGTTGCATCAAGTGGCTCCCGAATTTCCTAAAACACACCAGGGCAAACTGATATGGTCTGCTGCTCTCTAGGGAGCTCTGAGGATGCAGGAAGACTACTGAGGACAGTGAGCCTTAACCACCAGAGTACTCAATCTGTGACTGTGAAATAAACCCATTAGCCACTGAGACCTAATGAATTCACCTCTTGATCCTTTGGAAGTGGCTGGAAAATCTGAGGGGCAGCATTGGCCAGAGCTCTTCAGACACCTACAGGATCTGTCAGAAAATTTACTAAGTTCTTGGCTGAATGAACAGTTTTCTCAATTTACATTAACTTCTGATTGGTATCCTTTAAACATTTTTATGGCTCAGGAGATCTGTGCTCAAGAACAGATCAATGGTTCCCAAGTTGGAACAAATATAAACCATGTTTTGTAGGAAAAGCTTATTTAATGGAAATAGTAAGTAGACTATGCGAGGCAAATCTTGAAAAATACAAAACAAAGGACTGCAGTCGAATCGCACTGACCCTGAAATTAGGAAAGACTGTCAGCCTACAGAAGCTTCCTGTGGGTCACGCTAGCAATACTTCCTGAGCACACAGCATGTAGGCGCTGTGCTGAGCTCTTCTCAACAAGTGGACAAGTGTTAGTTCATTTAATCTTCACCACCCTGTGACAAGCACTATTTAATGTTCCCATTTTACAGTTCTCAAGAGTGAGACTAGAGTGGTTATGGAAGTTACTTAAAGTCTGGGAAGTGGCGGAATCAGGATCTAAATTTGGACTCAGAAAGTGTTCTATCACAATATATAGCTTTATCACATTTGTGGAGTTTTTTGTCATTGTTCACTATGGGTGCTTTAAAATGTGACAATTTGCTAAGGCAGATCCTTTTTCATCGATGGTTATCAAAAAAATATCTTTTAAAAATAACTGTTGTGACTGGATTCTAGTTTTCATACCACCAAAATATAATCCAAAAGAAATTAAATGCCTTACCAGATCATTTATTACTAAGTCTTCAGTATCACTGTTCAAATAGGGCTGCACCTCTAGTTCTGATTTGAAGTATTTGTCCTGTGGTCCACATGAAATCTGAAGCTGTTAAGGGTAAGAACCATGTTTATCTGCCTTCTAAGTTTCTCAAATAATAGTGAGTTTTTTATATGGTGGGTTCCCCAAAGTTGACTAAGTCAATTCAGAAAAGCTAAACAGGATGAGGTCATAGTTTTATTCACAATTTGCTTTCAGCACTCTGGATAAGAAAATGTACTCCAAAATAAACATGTTGTGGTTCTATTAAGCTGTCTTCAACAATAATTTATGCTATAAAAATGCTTTAGAGCAGATAAAAAAACCACTGAATTTAAAGGCATATCTAAAATTCAAAGTGGGGTTATACACATATTTTGAGAATCCAATATTCAAGGGAACTGGATTTGATATTTTCTTGCATTTATAAATTTATATGAGTTTATTAGATAATAGAGGATCTTGCAAATAACCATTAGAATTAATTTTCCAAAAGTGAACCTGTTGTTTGTATCACTCTCAGGAAATCTCCTGTATTCCAACTGGTGACTATGAAGTGACACTGCCATCTAGTGGCAAGTTTTCACTAAAGGTGAATGCATTTACTTGAGCACCCACCTTCATATCTTCACTGATTATAAACTCCTTTTTAAAGAAATATCTAGTTTTTAAAGGGAAAATAATTTAAAAAGTTTTTCATTTATGCATTCATTTGAAAGGCATACAGACTGAGAAACAAACACACACAATACACAGATTCTATTTGTTTGGTTCACTACCCAGATGCTAGTAATAGCTAGGGCTGGGCCGATTTGCTTTCTGGCTTCAGCCTGGCTGGGCCATGGCTGTTTCAGGCATCTAGTCAGCAAATGGAAACTCCATCATTCTGCTTTTCAAATAAATGAACAATGAATAAAACATTGAAAAAAAAAAAGGGGGAACATTTCTCTCTTCATCCCCTCTACCTCCTTCTACCCAATCTTTCTACTCCTGCTTGGATCTGCATAAAAGCTGGCAACTGTAAATACCATGTTGGGACTCTCTTTTAAAGTTTCTCTTTCCAGGGCCATGTTACCAATGCTAGTGGCACAACAGTGTTACGGATCAATCTATTAATTGATTACATATTATTTCAACAAAAATGAAAGGCAATGAACTTTTGCAGTGGCCAAATAAAATTCAGCCACTTCACTGGAATTTCAGAAAGGCTAACGGCATTACATTCATCATCCTAATAGTGTTTTATTGAATGCATATAATGTGTTAGGCACTCTTCTAACTGCTTGATGTGCATGGCTCATGGAATCCTCAAAACAATCATACACAGTAGTTAGAAATCCCATTTTCACAAGTAGGAAAACTGAGGCAGAAGAGGAAAAGATAACTATGTATGAACTGCTTAAAGTTGTTTCTCCTAGTAAGTTTAAGAGCTGGGATCTAAAAACAAGTATAATCTACCTGTTCTTGGTAGAGACCAAAAAGCAAAATGATTAATGATTTTTAAAAAAATACAAAAATCTCTAATAAACTTATCTCGAAAAAATGATTTTAGCAGACTTACCATCGCTATCTAAATTATTTTTTAAAAAGACTCTTCAGCAAAATTACCATAAACAGTCTTTGGAAAACATATTGAATGAGAAATTTATAGATGAAAGGAGCACTACGTATGTATTCACATACTGGCCTCTGTTTAAAACAAAACTAAAGGTGGAGAGAAATGGGGGTTATAGTAACTTAAAACACACACTAGGCTTATCAAAGATATTTTTTTAAAAAGTATTTGTTTATTTAAAAGGCAGAGCAACAGAGAGGGAGACACAGAGATTTTCCATCCGTTGGTTCATGTCCCAAATAGCCAGGGCTGGGCTGGGTCAAAGCCAGGAGCCCAAAGCTTCATCTGGTCGGTGGCAGGGTCCAAGTACGTGGGCCATCTTCCAATGCTTTCCCAAATGTAGCCAGGACTCAAAACAGCACTAAAATATGGGTATCACAGGCAGAGGTTTAGCCCACTGTGCCACAATGCCAGTCCCTATCCAAGATCTTAAAACACGTTATTCTCCCCAAAAGCTGGCTGCTTCCAAACTTGATTTAATATTTTGCATGTTTTCTCTCCTTTGCTTAGTAAATATATTTGCTTCTCCTTTCTGTAATCGACGTCTCACAGCTGATTTTTGCTGTCTTGTCAATTGACGTTTTACCTTCTGTTTTACCAGTTCCTGGAAAGATTTCAGAAGTTAGTATTTGGGATAGTGAATCATTTTGATAAAACAAACATCTCTATTTGCTGATACTTTTCAAATTTCTTTTTAAAAGTGTATTTTTAAAAACTCCACTGGCAGCACTATATGATCCAGTAATAAAACAGAAAAAATGTTATAAAATGGGAGAAATGAAATTCCTAACAGATTTTACCCCTATAGCAAAAAGTACAGTGCACAGTTCTTTAGATAACATATCATCATAGCGCCACCTAGTGTCCACCATGAACAGCAGAAAAAAAAAAAAAAAAACAAAACAACTCTGCTTTCCAGTGGTCCATTTTGTAATATGAAGTTATTTTCTAAAGCATTCACTATTGGCCAGTATATTCAAGAATACTTTCATAACTGTGCTGTAGAAATGACCTGATGGCATCAGCTAGCAGGGAAAAGTTTTCATACAGCTTTTTTGGAGCTGTAGAATGCTTTCTCATAGAAAACGATTTGTACATTCAAATTATTCTTTAGGACCCAAGCTACACATGTCACATGACTTGCATGATGAGGATGAAATCTGAAATATTCAGTCCACAATGACCTTTTGTTTCTCAGAACCACTTCAGGCTTCTACTTAATTGTATATAACCTAGCATCATCCAGCTTGTCTCCTACAAAGGCAGATGATATTTCAAGAGAAGAAGCCGAGGTCGTCTTCATGTGTCCCAGCATATGCTTGGCACAAAGAGGCACTTAAGAAACTGCTGAGTTGAAAAATCAAAGAAAAATGGATTTCAGAGATAAAAGGGAGCCAGAAGCACTAGTCTCCTATTGTCCTGTTTCTTGGGCTGCAGAATATAAAGCTGTGGGTCAGACGAGTCAAAGTGCAGAGTGGGATTATTTTATAGTGGAGCAGACTACAGTCCATACACAGCTGTAAACAAGTTTCCCTCTTTGTTTTCGTTTAAAGGTTGTTGGTGGGAGGAGGTGAGAGGAGGGGAAATGGAGTAGGGGAATCAGACGTGTTTCTACAGAGGCTGACACTGAGGAGAGGCAGCTACCCACATCTGGGAAGCCCGAGACATGGAAGCACCTGACATTCCGTGAGTGTCGGGACTGACGGCAGAACTGGCTAACGGGTTCAGCACCCTTCTTACCCCAGGAAGCCAAGCAGCACCGCTGCCTCCCCACTTCTGCAGGAGTTTGGAATCTGGGGTCTGAATGGCATCTTTGCAACTACAATGCTGGAAGCCTCAAGTCAGAGCAATGCTTGCAGAATTGTGAAGGAAAATGATTTCCGAACCACAAATAGAACACTTAATCAGCCCTCCAGTCAAGCGTGATGACAGAACAAAGGCATCTTTAATAATAAAGTTCCCAAAACCATTTCATTCCAAAAACTTTGGTAGCTATGGAGAATAAAGCCGTGAACAAGAGGGAGACAGGACTAGGAGAGAGGCATCCAACAGAGAGGAGATGGAAAGTCTGAGAAGGAAGAGCAGCACGGGCACCAGCTTTCTACTGGAGGAAGGCAGACTGGCCTCCAGAGCACTTCCAAGTCCTCTTCTAGTCGTCCTCTTATTCTTTACTTTGATGAAACTGCAAGGGTAACCATGTCACGCAAAATAAGGAGACGACGGACTGAACGCATGTTTCCCCTTTAGGTTCAGAACAATTTACAAATCCTACATGATTATTTTTCCTCACGTTAAGAACCAGCACGTGGGGCCAGCATTGCGGCACAGCAGGTAAAGCCGCTGCTTGTGGCACCAGCTTCCTATATGGGTGCTGGTTTGTGTCCCATCTGCTCCACTTCTTCTTTTATTTATTTATTTTTTTTGACAGGCAGAGTGGACAGTGAGAGAGAGAGACAGAGAGAAAGGTCTTCCTTTTTGCTGTTGGTTCACCCTCCAATGACCGCTGTGGCCAGTGCGCTGCGGCCGGCGCACCGCTTCTATCCGAAGGCAGGAGCCAGGTGCTTCTCCTGGTCTCCCATGGGGTGCAGGGCCCAAGCACTTGGGCCATCCTCCACTGCACTCCCGGGCCACAGCAGAGAGCTGGCCTGGAAGAGGGGCAACCGGGACAGAATCCGGCGCCCCGACCGGGACTAGAACCCGGTGTGCCGGCGCTGCAAGGCGGAGGATTAGCCTACTGAGCCACGGTGCCGGCCCTGCTCCACTTCTAATTCAACTTCCTGTTGATGGCCTGGGAAAAGCAGCAGAAAATGGCCCAAGTACTTGGGCCCTTGCTACCCATTTGGGAGCCTCAGAAGAAGCTCCTGGTTCCTGGACTTGGCCTGGCCTAGCCCAGGCTGTTTTGGCCATCTAGGGAGTGAATCAGCAGATGGAAGAGCTCTCTCCCTCTCTCTCTGTAACTCCAACTCTCAAATAAAATAAAATTTCTAACAAACAAACAAAACAATCCAGTGGGAGAAAATTCCTACTTAATATATTTAAAAATGATGCAAACATGAAATAAAATACTTGTGTGCTACTTTAAGGAGTATGTAAATATTAATGGAAGTCACATTCTTTTTTTATTGTTGCTACAGCCAAAAACTTCTTCCACTAGATAGTAGCCACACGCATAGCTACTTAAAAAGCAAATATGGTGCTGGCGCCGCGGCTCAGTAGGCTAATCCTCCGCCTTGCGGCGCCGGCACACCAGGTTCTAGTCCCGGTCGGGGCGCTGGATTCTGTTCTGGTTGCCCCTCTTCCAGGCCAGCTCTCTGCTTTGGCCAGCGAGTGCAGTGGAGGATGGCCCAAGTGCTTGGGCCCTGCACCCCATGGGAGACCAGAATAAGTACCTGGCTCCTGCCTTTGGATCAGCACGATGCGCCGGCCACGGCGGCCATTGGAGGGTGAACCAATGGCAAAAGGAAGACCTTTCTCTCTGTCTCCCTCTCTCACTGTCCACTCTGCCTGTCAAAAAAAAAAAAAAAAAAAAAAAAAAAAGCAAATATGCTTTACTGTTTAATTACAATTTAATTCTGTTAAAGATTAGCAAGAATAGAGTTCACAAATGGCCAATAAGTAGAAACTAGAAAATATTTAAAGAAGGAACAGATCTTAAAACCATAATTTCAAGAAACACAAATCTTTTGGCTCTGTACTGATACCAAAACAACCGTTAAGTTAATGTTGTTGTTTTTTTTTTTTGTCAGGCAGAGTGGACAGTGAGAGAGAGAGACAGAGAGAAAGGTCTTCCTTTTGCCATTGGTTCACCCACCAATGGCCGCTGCCCTGGGTTCTAGTCCCAGTTGGGGCGCCAAATTCTGTCCTGATTGTTCCTCTTCCAGTCCAGCTCTCTGCTGTGGCCTGGGAAGGCAGTGGAGGATGGCCCAAGTGCTTGGGCCCTGTACCCGCATGGGAGACCAGGAAGAAGCACCTGGCTCCTGGCTTCGGATTGGCGCAGCGCGATGGCCATAGCGGCCATTTGGGGAGTGAACCAACGGATGGAAGACCTTTCTCTCTGTCTCTCTCTCTCTCTCACTGCCTAACTCTGCCTGTAAAAAAAAACATAAAAAAAAAAAAAAAAAACCAAAAAACCAAAAAACAACGAGGTAAAACATGCAAATACAATTCTAACTGGGGTTCTGACAACAGCAGTGCCATCATCTCTATACACAAAGCGAGCATAACTTAGAATTTAAGGAAGTAGCATGAATTAGCAATTTGTCTAACTATTCTTTGTATATAATTACTAATCTTATACTACTATAATTAGACATTGGAGAAATGTTTTGATTATGAGAAACCAAAGAAAGCAAAGCAAATACATCCCAATAATTGAGTGTACAGGCAATAATGAAGTGTGAGAAATCCATAATAAAGACAAGATAGGTTGATAATACTTGAAAGGAGATTTTCTTTCTCTCTCCGCTCTCGCTCTCTCTCTCCCTTATTTGAGAGACAGAGAGAACAAAACAGGCAGAGGTCTCCCACCTTGGGGCATGAAGCCAGGAACCAGGAACTCAATCCAGGTCTCCTACATGGGTGGCAGGAATTTAACTGCTTGAGCGAATACCTCTGCCTCCTCAGGTACAAATTATCAGGGAGGTGAATCAGCAGCAGCTGGAGTCCACCATGGAACCCAGGCACTGGGTTATACAGTTATGCTTACTGACAGAATTTCTGGACTTGGAATAAAAAATTCAGGAATACAAACTTATTTTCTTTCAAATTTACTTTCATCTGATTAGATCTGGTTTTATTAGCTTCTTTTGCTCATTATAACGTTTATCACTAATACCCAGCTTCAGTTGTACTCAATGTGATTCCTTAGGCAGAAGGGAAAACCCAACACTCATTTTTGTGGAAAAATATGGCTAAATTACCGTGCTTTACTTTCTTAATGGTGGACAGAAAATAAATTTTCAGAAAGCTACCTGAAGTTACAATTTTCAAAACACTGCTTAATCTAGAAGTCCGGTTAGGAAGCAGGGGTATGTGCTGTAGGCTTACACACCAGTGTCCTTCACCTGACGGCCAAAGGACTCAGGAGAGGAATAGGAAAATGAAGAGTAGCTTTGTCTCATTCATCCCAAAACAGTGGTACTTCTAAGTTCACACTGTTCCTAAATGGCAGTGAGGGTGGCATTTTTCCACAATACTGCCATCAGTGAGCAGGAGAGCCAAGGCTGCATGGGCCAGAGAGAATGGCTGTGCAGTGAGGGGTAAGATTCTCTCTCAAACACTCCTGGTTAGCTCTGAAAGGAAGCTGGCAGACAAAACTGCTGCTCAGCAGGAGTTGCACTGTGCCCAATCTTGTCCAGAAAATATCCCTCTTGAAATTTCTTTGGACACTGCTGCCAACATCCAAAGGGTCCAACAAAAACTTGAGACACCAAAAATTTAAAAATCACCTACTCTTCTCCTTCAAAATGTAAGAACAAGCTAATGAATGAAGTTGGTGTTTCACCACACTTCATTTGCAAGCTGTCACTGGTCAGGGAACTTTGAGCAAAGTCACATAACCTACCTGGGCCTCAACTTCCTGTTAAAATGAAGGGACCAAACCACATGAAAATCCAGTGTCCCTTGGTTCTAAATTTCTATGACTTTATCCTTTAAGTCAATCTCACTTATGTGCTGCTCTTCCCCTGAAAGATTTGATCACTCTAGCTAAAAGTGAACTCAGGCAATACAAATGTCTGAGTCCTGCATACCTTGTAGTCTTCACAGTGTCTGAATTCACTAACCGATCCACAGTAGTGACCCAATATACCTTTGATGTTGAGTGAATACTCACCGGAGGAATTGTTGAACAGCTTACAACACTGCCTGCAGAAGTAACACTCAGAGTTCTTGTTCTACACTGAGTAAGATTTCCCAAACTTTCTTGATCTCTAAAACAAAAAGCCCCATAATTAATCAACTTAATTTTCGCAATGCAACCAATCATACTTGATTAAATTACCACCTCCCCCCCCCGCAGGACAGTAAAACTTGGGTATAAAGTATGCCAGAAACATTATTATACTTAATATTATACTTAAAATTTTTATGAAGTTTTTAAAACTGTAACACTTCGGTCTAACGTATCAGTAATTTTAATTTTTCAGCATTCTTCTTGTCAATATCAACATCTTAAAATTGGTAAAATGTTTTAGCCATCAAAATTTACTATTCTTCCACAATTCATATGCCTCTTTTCCAATAAACCTCTCCTTTTACTGAACCATGCAAAACTGCTCTTCCCAATTTAAATTTCTGAGACTTTGTCACCTTGTTAAACAATGTGGAAATAATGAGACCAGAGAGAGTACTCTGAGTCTGCTCTACTAAGGTAGAAAAATTGTTTTCACATTGCTCAGAATTTTAATGTATATGAATTCAGACAACATTAACTTCTAATAGTCAACTTTTTCAGCATATTTTGCTTCTACCTTGAATAAAAGCTCTACCTAATATGTATCCTGTGGGGAGCAGCCCGGACTGGACTGAGTTACTGGAATTAAGACTTATTCTATGCATCTGCTCTCCCACAATATGGCGCTGGGAGAGAAGTAAACAGCTTCCGCACAGCTGCCTCCAGTTCAACCAATAAACTGTAGGACTTGCTCCTGATTGGAGAGCAGCGTACTCGGCGTGTGGGCAGCCGAGTTAGGATTGGCAGAGGAGGACTATAAAGGAGGAGAGAGACGGCATGCACCAGGAACATCTATGGGGAACATCTAAGGGAACCCGTGCAGCCCCCGAGAAAGCCGGCCGGCGGTGTGCCGCTCCCCTGCGGAAGTGGGGAATGCGGCCAGGGGGAACTGCCCTTCCACGGAGGCGGAAGGGATAGTAGCCAACCCGGGAAGAACCAGCAGCAAACCCGGGGAGGGCCGAGCAGACGAAAGAACAGCGCAGGGTCCTGTGTCGTTCCTCCACGAAGAGGGGGAGCGACATAATGGTGCCGTGACTCGGATATGAAGCCTAGGTAGGGTTTAGTGTTGCTCCTCCACGAACAGGGGGAGCAACAGTATCCAGAAAGGGAGAACAAATAATTACTCCTATTATCTCTTCAGAAGACCATTTATCCTTTTGTAGGTCTTTTCCATCACCGTGAACTGGTTACAATGTTAAATATTATTCCGGGTGCATGTGTGAGAGCATTCTGGAAGCGGCACTCCCTAATGAGGGCAGGCTTCACCCAATCCTCTGAAGGCCCAAAGAGAGCACGAAGGCAGAGCAAGGGACAACTTACTCTCTGCCTGACTGAGCTGGCCCATCAGCCTTCTAGTTTTGGATTCTGACTGGAGTGTACACTATTGCCTCTTTGTCAGGTGTCTGGTCTGGATCTATATTCCACTGGCACTCCTGTGACTCCACCAGCAATGATTGCAGATTGGGGGACTGCTCAGCCTCCATAACTACGTGAGCCAATTCTTCATACAAATAGTCCCTGGCTTCTGATGGTTCAACTTCAGATTTTTCAACTTTATGATGGTTCAAGAAGCAATATGCATTTGGTAAGTACCATACTTCAAATTCTGATCTTTTCTTGGGCTAGTAATATTCAATGCATTCTCTCTCATGATGCTGTGTAGCAGGAGCAAGCTGTACCTCTTAGTCATGCAGTTATGAAGGTGGACAGCTGATTGTTTACAGCGTGCTGTGTTGCTAAGCTAGAACGTTCAGTGGGTTAGGTACATTAAATGTGTTACTGACCGATGATATTTTCAACTCAGGAAGAATTTATAGGGACATAATCCTACTGCAAATTGAGGAACACTTGTAAATATCTTGTGTTGGTTTTGTTTCTCTACAGAATCCAGAGTAATACAATCAGAATCCCGAACGACTGTATTTTTGACTTTTTGTCTCTTAAGTGTCCGCTTAATTTTCCAAGTTGACTCAAATGGCAATAGCCTTGAGGCTTAAGATAGAGAACTACATGGACAAGGAGCAAAACTCTCATACTTTGTCTCATATACAAAACTGCAAAAACAAAGACAACCTTGAAATATAAGTGTCAACATGTATTTCTGGTCTAATTTTAACTTCTGTATTACTATTTATTAACCTACAGCTGGTTTCTGGACAAGCTACCCCAAATCTAAAAATCAAATTTTAGAACTTTTGCTAATCTAAGCTTAGCCTCATGGATTAGTTTTTCCAAGACATAAATTTTAAAAACACAATGCCATTATATGATTTTAGCTGTACAGGAACAAAAGTACAGAAAGCTCAAAATACCAGAGTAAATTCACTTTAGATGCCTGACACAGAAAAGCACATTTACTGCATGTTTTACATGTTTACGTCTTAATAATCAAACATACATGAGATGTATAATTATTAAAATATATCTACCCAAAACCTCATTAATTTATAATGAGACATCAGTTTGTAGTATAAGGCAGAATTACATGAAGCTTAATCAGTAGGCTGCCTAGAATCAGGTCAATTGTAAAGAAGGATATTTTGAGTTTTAAATATAAAAAAGGCTATCTGACTTTCATTTACCCATCATTATAGCGAATGAAACTGTCATATCATTTGTTTTCCCCTAAAACATTAATTTAGAGGAGCTAGCGCTGTGGCGCAGCAGGTTAACGCCCTGGCCTGAAGCACCGGCATCCCATATGGGCACTGGTTCGAGACCTGGCTGCTCCACTTCCGATCCAGCTCTCTGCTTTGGCCTGAGAAAGCAGTAGAAGATGGTCCAGGTCCTTGGGCCCCTGCACCCACATGGGAGACCCGGAGGAAGCTCCTGGCTCCTGGCTTCAGATCGGCGCTGCTCTGGCCTTTGCGGCCATCTGGGGAGTGAAACAGCTGATGGAAGACCTCTGTCTCTCTCTCTGTCTTTCTCTTTCTGTGTCTCCTCTCTCTGTGTAACTCTGATTTCAAATAAATAAATAAATCTTTAAAAAAAAAAAACCAAAAAACCCATTAACTTAAAGATTCAACACAGAAAAGCAATCAACAAAAATCTATACCTGAAAGGCCTGAATTCCTTGTTTAGTGACGACAGTGCAATCAGATCAGGGCACTCGTCTTCACACTCCTCAGGGCCAGCAGGGACTCCTCCGGGACCAGTCAGACCATCCTGCCACGTGCCATTTTCAGTTCTGTTTTTCTCCCCAGAAAGCTCAGTTGTTAAATTGCTTTCAACAACCTGTCCTTTCACTTCCTCCAAAGCCTGACTGAATCCAGTCATTTCAAACACGTGTATGCCAGCACACTCCCCGAATAAACTGTCCTGCTTTGTTTGCTCGAGTTCTCCAGGTGACCTGGGACAGTGGCCACTTGCTTCATCCACAGAGCTCTTTTCACTCTCATTCTCTGACCTGCAGACCTTTGCTTCTTCCGATGCCTCTTCATCAGAAAGTGAGCAGTCAGACCCCCGCTCTGTGGCGGAGTTCCCATCATCTGGCCCGAGTGGATGCAGCAGTTCATCGTCCACCTGCATCTCCTTTGTGTAGCCGCTGGCAGAGACCTCCACGTCCAGAGAGTCTTCCCTCCTAGGGAAAAAAGGAGTTGAAAAGGGAAAGAAAACATAGTTATCTAAGTACCCATTATTTGATAAATTCTGATTCCCAAGTGAGTTTAATAGTTAAAACATTTAAAGGTTTTTCTTTGCCTACAACCTAATACTCAGAAATTATATACGCAAATATAAATGACATGCTGTCATTTTAAGAATAAAATGACTTTTTATAACACATACTAATAAGAAGGTTACAAAAATTCAATTGATATTTATTAGTTTGGTAAATTAACTTCCAAAGGGGGCTAAAATTTCTTTAGCAGTATCTCAAAGGACCAAACAGGTATTTCCTTTTCTTTACTTTTTTGAAAGATTATTTTTATTTATTTGAAAGGCAGGGCTGGTGCTGTGGCACAGTGGGTTAAAGCTCTGGCCTGCAGAGCTGGCACCCATACAGGTGCTGGTTTGAGTCTTGCTGCTCCACTTCCAATCCAGATCTCTGCTGTGGCCTGGGAAAGCAGCGGAGGATGGCCCAAGTGCTTGGGTCCTGCACCTACATGGGAGACCTGGAAGAAGCTCCTGACTACTGGTTTTGGCCTGGTCTATGCCTGGTCGCTGCGGCCATTTGGGGAGTGAACCAATGGATGGAAGACCTCCTCTGTTTCCACCTCTCTCTGTAACACTGCCTTTCAAAAGAATAAAATAAATCTTAGGAAAAAAAAAAAAAAAGAAGGCGATAGTATGACAGAGAGCAAGTGAGCTCTTTATTTATTTATTTTTTTTGGACTGGCAGAGTGGACAGTGAGATAGACAGAAAGGTCTTCCTTTTCCGTTGGATCACCCCTCAACGGCCGCTCTTTCTTCTGCTGGTTCACTCCTGAAATGGCCATAAAAGCTGAGGGTGTACCAAGCTGAAGCCACGAGCCTGGACCTCTTCTGTGGTGTCTCCCACATGGTGGCAGGGACCCATGTACTTGGGCTATCTTCCACTGCTTTCCCAGGCCCTGCAGGGGGCTGGATCGGAGGCAGAGCACCTGGGACTCAAACTGGGTCTTTGATATGGGATGCTGGTATTGTAGACAGCAGCTTAATTTGCTGTGCCACAATGCCAGCCCCAAGGCAGGAATTTTCAAGTTTTAAAATTTCATTTATATGCTACAGAACAATGGCCCTTAACAGTAATTATTAGGTGTCAAAGATCACTACATATATTTTTTTTTTTTGGTGCAAGGGTTAACTTTTCTAACTAAATAAACCAGATATTGAAAAGGTCCTATCATTTTAAGCAATGCGGAGTACAAACCTGATGTCACTAAATGTTGGATAAAGCTCACTTTCATAGTTGAAACGTTTGATGAAGAAATCTCTCACACATTTAACATCTCTGTCGAAATACCTGCAAAAGGAAGAATCATTTTTGATACAGGCATTGTGAGCTTTTTCATTAGCCAATCACGTTACCTTATCATTTACTGTGATACTCCTGCTCCTTCTAGGAAGGAGAAAGATGTTACAGAGGAAAAAGAGATACAAAAGAGCAGCCTGTGTTTAAAAATGAAAAACCTGAGGAAAGTTCAAGGGCTAAAAGTTTTAACACAGTTCCTGTGGGTAGGGAAGTCGAGGTTTTCTCATAGCATGACTCAGAATATGAGGACATACTAAGGGAAAGTGAGTGTGAACCCGAGGAGACTTACCCTCTTTAGTTCCCAGTCGGCTGGCTGTGTTCCCAATGGCAACACATGCCAGAGCCTCTAGCCAATTGGAAAAACCAGATAAAAAGGGATTAATGACTCCTTAGGAAGGGTCTGGGGACTACTGAATTATGTTTATGATAATATACAATAATTATCAAAAACATTCACCCAATCTGAAGACATGCTGATCTGGATTGAGTGTAGAAGGACCTCTGCATACCAGTTTGCTTTTTAAGTCAGCATAGAGCAGCAAGAACAGATTCAATTCTCTAGAAGCTTTCTAGATAATGAAGAATTAAAGACAGGATGACATGGAGCTGACTATGTCATTAAATTTTAACTGAATTACTATCTTGAGAAAGAAGTTTGGAAATAGGGAAGACAATGTCACTCTTCTTCGCTCAGGGCACCCTGGCAAAATCTTAGTATATTTTAAAACTGATCATTTTACATACACTCCTATCTCCCCAACTAGTCGTTTCTTCAAAAGCAAAGTGACAGGGCTTAATCATATCTCAACCACAAGTGCTCAGCCCAACTCCTTTCCCCAGTACTAGGGTTCATAAAAATTCTAATTAAATCATTTGGAACATCATAACCTGTCATCAATTCCTTCTCTAACTGTGGTGGTTCCCAGATGTTCTTTATTGTGTGACTCTGCTACTCTGTATTAATAAAAATGATGATTAGTCATCATCCAAGAGTACTGATCATTCAAGTGCCATGAATATTTAGTATTGTTTTGCTGGAAATAATTTTAAAAATTATTTTTAAGTAACATTTCTTTCTCTAGCATAACATAAAACTGCTTCAATCCTAAACTTTACAAGAATTATACACACACACACACACACACACACCAGTTGTTACTTTAGGGAAAAGCTGTTTCTCATAAAACTAAATAGGAGTTAAAAAAACACACACACTTGTAATTTGATTACCCTCAATTGCATCATGGAATATAAGCAAATAAGGAAAAGGTTGCATTTCACAACCTTATTGGTTTAAGTGGCTAAATAAAGTAAAAAATATGATTATAACAGTACAAAAGTGATGCTGTTCTGTGCAAGTGATGGAAATTTCACATGAATTTTTTTACTAATTGAATAAAAGCTGAAAACAACAGGAGGATTAAGCCACGACCTTTGACCCTGGCATCCCAGATGGGCAGTGATTTGAGTCCTGGCAGTTCCACATCTGATCCAGCTCCCCGCTAATCCCCCTGGGAAAGCAGTGGAGGATGGCCAAAGGACTTGGGCCCCTGCCACTCATGTGGGAAACCTGGATGATTTCAAGGCTCCTGGCTTTTACCAGGCCCAGTCATGGCCTTCGTGGCCACTTGGGGAGTGAACCAGCAGATGAAAGATTTCTGTCTCTTCCTCTCTCTATAAATCTGCCTTTCAAATAAATAAATAAATCTTAAAAAAAAAAAAAAAAGAAAACGAAGATAATTATCATTAATTTGGCAACTGAGCCTAGTCCCACACCACACCTTTTTCGAAGGCCATTAGGATTACTAAGCTGTGCTTGCTGAAGCTCTCTTGAAGGTGACCATGGAGAAGTGAGGAAAGGGGAAGAGCACGTGGTGGTGGCTTGAGGGCTCTTCACTCCATGTCCCTGAGTAGGCACAGACCTGCTTTAAAAACCACGGTTCCACTCAAAACTGTCTGAACAAAGGGTTCCATGGCTAACAAAGTTTGACTTTTGACTGTCAAATTACAACAGAGTAATCCAAATTATTTTTATACTATCTTCACTGTGGTTTACATTAAAAAAGGCAATTCTTCAAATTCCCAATATACAAGCTTAATTTTCTTCTGAAATTTATTTACTTGAAAGTTCGAGTTGGAGATCTTCTAACCACTTGTTCCAACAGTTGGTGCTGACCAGGATGAAGCTAGGAGCTGGGAACTCAAGTGGGTAGGTAGATGGCTGGCAGAGACCCAAAGTCCCTGGGCCATCATCTATCTGCTGCCTCAAGTATACGTTAGCAAGAAGCCAGATCAAGAAGTGGAGCAGCTGTGACTCCAACTGGGACTTTGATATGGGATGTAGGCATCCCAAATGGCAGCTTAACCTACTATGCCACAATGCCATGTGAAAAGGTTTTAAAAATGGGATCAAAGTACATTTTTTCCTCCTTAAAATACTGAGGAGTAAGACTGTCTCATGAGGAAAAACACAAGAACTGGACAATTATAGGGGGAAAAAAGATTTCATCACACCTAAACACACTCACATCCAGAATCAGTTTCAGTACATACCACTCAGCATTGGGATGAGAAGTTGAAACCATCTGTGGAAAATCAATCATGGTGATATGGTCATCTTTATCCAAAATGAGATTGAATTCGTTGAAATCTCCATGAATCAGCCCATGATTTGCAAGTCTGACAATTAGTTCCATTGCTTCATCATATACAGATGCAGGGTCTTCAACATGATGTATCTGACACCTGAAGGTATTTTACATACGAAGAGAGAATATACGTACTCATTTATGATTTTAATAAAAGTATGTTTGTATATGCACATATATTATTTCCAACCCATCTTCCCAGTATCTTTCTCCTTATTCTTACCAGCAAACATAATACCTTCCAAGTACTAGAAAACAAATAAATTAAAAAAAAGCCACCCTGCTTAGACTCTGTCTTCTATTACTGCTATGCTTTTCCTTTGGTTTTCTTTTATTTTTTTTAAAGATTTACTTATTTATTTGAAAGTCAGAGTTACAAAGAGAGAGAAGGAGAGACACACAGAGACCTTTCATCTGCTAATTCACTCCCCATTGGCCACAATGGCTAGCACTGGGCCAGGGCAAAGCCAGAAGCCAGGAACTTCATCTAAGTCTCCCACATGGGTGGCAGAGGCCCAAACACTTTGGCCATCTTCTGCTGCTTTTTCCAGTCTGTTAGCAGGGAGCTGGATCAGAGGTGGAGCAGCTGGGACACAAACTGGTGCACATAATGGACTCTGGCAGTGGAGGTGGCGACTTTATATACTAAGCCACAATATCAGCCCCTCTTTGTTCTTTACAGCCAAACTCTTACACAGGTTTTTTCCAATTTATTCCCTCTCCTTCTCTAATGAACCCATTTCACATAGGCTTTCATCCACCTCTTGTTAATGAAATGCTCTTGCCAAGACTACCAATGACTTCCACATTGTTTAATTCAAAGGTCAATCCTGGTCATCATCACTTCTGGTCTGTGCCCTCCCTGAAACACATTCCTTCACTTAACTCTTGGGACACAATGCTCTTCAAGTTTTATTCCTTCCATACCGATCATTCCTCCTTAGTCTTTTTCACTGGTTCTTCAACTTTTCCCTGACCTCTAAATTTTGGAGTTCCTCAAAAGTTGATCCTAGGACCTCTTCTTTTTTCTTATGTAGGATTCACACATGGTGATCAGGCTGGGCTCATGGCTTCAAACACTATATATACACCAGCTCCCCTGGATTCTGAGACATCTCAAACTTACCCTGCCCAAAACAGAATCTCTGATTCTGCTCCACCCTCTAACTCCAAACTATTCTTCCTGCTTCTAAGTGGCAACTTCTTCCTCTATTAATTTGTAACTCAGGCCAAAGACCTTGCTGTTATCATTGACTCAACCCTTCACATCCATATCCAATCCCCAACCAATCAGGTTCTCCCTGAAAATCATACCAGAATCTGACCACTTTCCACCACATCTGGACTATCACAGCAGTAACAGCTACCATCATCTCTTCTCCTGCTGGATTCTACAAGAGTACCGTAACTCATCTTCCTAATTCTGTTTTTGTTTCCCCCAAGTCTCTGTTCTTCATATAGCAGCCAGAGCTTCCCTAAGAAAAAGTGATGTCTCTTCACTGCTTACAACACTCTAATAATGGCTTCTGCCTGAATCAAAATTAAAAATTCTGAATAAGGGCCCACAAGTTGTTAAGTGATCTGGCTACCTGTTCCCACTCCCATATGCTCACCTGAGACATGTGTGCTCTAATCTGTCCGGAATAGCCTTTCATATAGCTGCATAGTTTCTTCCCTCTTCAAGTTTCTGCACTGATAAGTTTTCACCTCACTAATGAGACTTTTCCTGACCACGCCATGCAAAATAGCGGTCTCTCATCTCAGCCTTCATACTTCTTATCTTCCTTACCCTTCTTTATTTTTGTCCATAGCACTTATACCACTTGAAACACTGCATTTCCTTGCTCAGTTATTTATTGCAAGTCTCCTTCCATTAGAATGTAAATTCTACAAGGAAAGGACTTTGGGTCACCGCTGAGCTTACTGAATAAATGAATGAATGAATCATAGACATTGCAAAGTCCATACTATCAGAATGAAACTGAGTTTTCAATTTTAAAGTCTTAAGTCAATTTCTAACCTCCCAAAAGTAACAGCATGTTAATTTAAAAAAGCTTTTGTTAACACCAACCAACCAAACTTGAGCCATGATTTCAGGGACAGTAGTGAATACTTACAAAGGATAGCCATTTATGAGCTCCATGACCACTGCGTGGCGATTGTAATCAATTGGTTTTGGAACTGGAAATTTCCTCTCATGTAATGCCTAAAACACAGCAAAACATGTATAAGCTATTAAAGAAGTCATTATTTTTTTTAAAAAACAATACCTTCCCAAACCCAAAACAAAGCAGATAAGTCTTTACAAAATTATAATTAACACATGGTTATTCATGTACTGCTTAACTACTATGTAGAATAAGCTACACATAAAAACAAATTTTAAACTAAAATTTGCTTGAATTCACTTTTCTGCCAAAAATGAACACTTACTAAATATTATGCATTGTGCAAATTACAAAAATACCACAAAAATATTTGTCCTCAAGAAACTCAAGGTCTCTTAGGATATTTCCTACTTTATAAATCTGGGTCACTTGCTTAAGTGTGCTTAAACTATTCAAATGAAAACAAACTGGGATTTAGGAAACTCTGTTTTCTGGCATTTTAGGAAATAAAGTAGACTGTAAAGAGCAGACCCTTTAGTTCATGCACCACTGATCTTTCCCTGAGACCACAATAAATGGATCATGTGACAAACACAGAAACAGCAGTAGTCTGACTCAAATGGATCTAAATTTTTTTACTACACCTAATTTCCTCTTGTTTATAAATCCATGTTACCACTTCTTTCAAAGTACCTTGGGTTTATGCCCTGTGCCATTTGGAATGCTAGCATTTCTAAGTAGACCTTTGTCATTTATGCCTGGTCTCCACCAGGATTCTGGCTTTAGCTAGTATATCTGATCTAATCTATGTACCAATATTAGACAAATATACTTAGGCCCACATTCCATTAAAAACAACAACAACAAAACAAACCCACAGTTTGTCCTGGTTCTCTTTAATTTACTTTTCCAGTCCTAGTTCTCCAAATACTAACAGGCACCCAGCAGCACAGTCAGAGAAATCATCTCAGTGTCGCTTATACAGAGAGGGCTCAAATCCATTCATGTCTTTGCCCACACTAGCTTTCTTGCAAAGCACATCATCTCCTTACAGGTAAGTCACATACAAACTTCATGACTCTACTGAACTCCCACTCAATCACCAACTCTTTTGCTGTATTGAAGTTTCTCTAAACTCAACACATAATTTAAAAAATTCTTTCATGGTCCATGTGTGTTGGTATCAGGTTCCCACCTTTAAGAAACAGTGCATGAGATCTTTGGGATCCACTCTTTCACTCTACCCCATCCTATCCCAGAACTGAATTTTAAAGGGTTTTCTATTTTACATCCTGCCTTCTGTGGAGATGAACTAAACTACTTCCCCATTTTCCAGTTTTTGTTTGTTGCTTTGTTAAGAATAATTTGATTATTTGAAAAGACAGAGTGAGAGAGAGGGAGAGACACTTCTATCCACTGGTTCACTCCCCAAATAGCTGTAATAACTAGAGCTGGTCCACACTGACACCAACTCTCCCACATGGGTGGCAGGGGCCAAACACTTGGGCTACCATCTGCTGCTTTCCTAGGCACATTAGCAGGGAGCTATATTGGAAGTGGAGCAGCTGGGAACTGAATGGGCACCCTGCTATGGGATGCAGGAGCTGCAAACAGTGGCTTAACCTGCTGCATCACAATACTGGCTCCTGTCTGCTTTGTTTTTAAAGAGTGTTTTTGAATGAAGACCATTTGAAACATGCCTGAACTGACAGCATATGATAACCTTGGAGATTTCAGTATCTGTCTAGCATTTAGCTTTATCTTCTTTCATTTCCGACCTTTAATGCAAACATCTATCACAGTTTGGGAAAATGTCTAACAATTCCTATCAAGATGCTTAACTACTGATTGAATATCCTAAGACACAGACATAAGACAAGAAATACATAACACACAAATTAAAATGACTCAAAGAACAACAAGTGCAACTGTTGTTCACACTGGAGCAATTTTCAAAAATTCAAAAATTTTAAAAAATGAAGATAAATTATTACCATGTCTATTGGACAGAATAATAAACACACAGTGTTATTTTCTGTTAAACTTTGTTACTGAAGATATTTTATTTGGGTATTAAAGATAAGTAGCAAATCTTTGCTGAACTTAAAGTAAAAGGCTGACAATTTTTACTATTTTTCATTTATTTACAGATTTATAACCTGACATTTGTTTGATTATGCAAAAGGTTTCTACAGATGGTAATTATATATAATATGTTCAACTAGAGCTAGACGTCTGTAACTATACATGCTGAACATATATACTCCCATTTACAGATTTGTGAAGCAACAATATCGCTAATTATTTTAGGCTGCTCCATAATGTTAATACTATAGAATACATATTGCCTTCATGTATTAATAATAATGAAAAATATCTTCACTAGGAGGAAATCACTAAGAAAATAAGTCTACAGAGTTAGTGATTACAGAGGGGCCAGCACTGGCAGAGTAGTCTAAGCCTCTGTAGTGCAGGCATCCCATATAGGCACCAGTTCACGTCCCAGCTGCTCTTTTTATCCAGCTCTCTGCTACGACCTGGGAAAGCAGCAGAAGATGGCCCAAGTGCTTGGGCCCCTGCACCCACATGGGAGACCTGGAAGAAGCTCCTGGCTTTAGATCAGCCCAGCTCTGGCCATTGTGGCCATTTAGGGAGTCAACCAGTGGCTGGAAGACCTTCCTCTCTGTAAATCTACCTCTCAAATAAATAAAGTCTTAAAAAACAAAAAATAAAAAAAGAATGATTGCCCCCCACTCTCCCCTCTAAGAACAGCACAGTGATTATAGAGATTGGGTCTGGAGGTAAGGAGACATGGGGGCAGCAGATTGATGCCTGTTTCTAAGACCTTCAAAGTACATGTATCATTTGGTTAGAAAATGTAAAATGACTTAAAAATTACCTTCATATAGGCAAACTCCTTCATGGCAGAGAGACGAGACAAATAAAGCCAAGAGACATTGTGCCTGTGTTTATGGTAGTCACGCTTGTTTTTCAAATTTCGGAAGGAAGTTCTTCCTAGTCTATGAAGCTTCAATGCAAACTGCTGTCCTTCTTCATTTGCAACGATGTAAATATCTAGAGCCAAGATTTAAGTAGATCATCATTATACTTTTTTTCCATTGAGTTAAAAATTTTAACTGGGTCTGACTTTATTTGTATCAAGTATTTTTCTTTAGATTTATTTATTTATTTGAAAGGCAGAGTTACAGGGGTTGGGCGGGGGTGGGGGGTGGGGGGATGGGGTGGGGTCGGGGGGAACAGAGAAATCTCTCCACTGGTTCACTTTCCAAATGTTTGCAATGGCTGGAGCTGGGCCAGGCTGAAGCCAAGAACCTTGAACTTCATCTGGGTCTTGCATGTGGGTGGCAGGGGCCCAAGTACTTGGCCCATCTTTTACTGTCTTCCCAGGCACATTAGCAGGGAATGAGATACGAAGTGGAGTAGCCAGGACTTGAACCGGAGCCTATATGGAATGATGGCATCACAGGCAGCAGCTTAACCAGCTTTGCCACAACATTGGGTCCTCAAGTATGTTTTATTTCATAATATAACTAGAAATTTTTGGCAAAACTCTTCGTATTCCACACATTCACCATTTTACTTTAATTACAACTCCAAATTATAAGTCAACATATATGAACATCTACTATAAATGAAAGCAGAGATACCATGTGTCAAAGGTTATTGCTTAACGCACTTATCTACTGTTATGTCAAAACAATCTAATGGAAACAATTTAATGGAAAAACATCTAATTGTTCCTTAATGTCCTGTGAAAGGAGGGATTTAATATCTTCCTTTTCAACAGCATGAAGTTCAATTCTTCAATTGCTCCTTAATAAGTTCCACTCAATTGTTAGAATATAATTCTATAAATGGAGATCTTCCAATAAGTAGTTTGCTAACTATCAAAACAGGATGTTATTTGTAAAACCAACAGTTAGAGTATATCCTCATTACTCATGAGGAAATTTTAATTATTAAATTTCTGTTAAGAAACAGGCTTCATGAAAAGCCCATGAAAACATTTCAGGCATGGAAAGCCAAGCTATTGTGGCAAAGAATATTCTACATGAAGGATCTCTGAGAGTAAGATTCCAGTGGAAAGTACTGGCCATCAGAAGGATCTACTTTTCTCTGAAGGGAGTAGAGAACTTTGCTTATGGCCTTGTTTAAATACTGACAGAGTTTATGGATTGAAAAGGCTTCCATAGCCTAGGCAGCTCATGTCATAAGCCTCGGTTGGGGGCTCGTGCCGTGGTGCAGTGGGTTAATCCTCTGCCTATGGCTCTGGCATCCCATATGGGTACCAGTTCTGGTCCTGGCTGCCCCTCTTCCAATCCAGCTCTCTGCTGTGGCCTGGGAAAGCAGTAGAAGATGGCCCAACTGCCTGGGCCCCTGCACCTTCATGGGAGAACAGGAAGAAGCACCTGGCTTCTGGCTTCTGATTGGCACAGCTCCAGCTGTTACGGCCATCTGGAGAGTGAACCAATAGAAGGAAGACCTTTCTCTGTCTCTCCCTCTCACCGTTTGTAACTCTCTCTCTCAATACAATCTTTAAAAAAAAGAAGAAAAAAGAGCCTCGGTTGGTCACTGACGTCATACATAAGAGTGTTAATTGTTTAATTAACAGCAGGAGTCACTGTACTAACTTTCCTTGAAGGACCTCTGTGCTCAATGAGTTGTATTATGAGAGTTACCCATAAAACTTGTTCTCAGTTTGTGCAAATTGTTGAAATCTTTACTTCATATAGAGTTAGTCTTCTGTGTATAAAGTTAATTGAAAGTGAATCTTAATGGAGAATGCGACTGGGAAATGGAAGAAAGAGGAGGAGGAGGGGTGGGAGTGTGGGTGGGAGGGCGAGTGGTGGGAAAAATCATTATATTCCTAAAGTTGTACTTATGAAATTTGTATTCCTTAAATAAAAGGTTTCTTTGGGGCAAAAACAAAAACAAAAAACAAACCAGGCTGCATTACAATAGGATAAGCCGGCTGGCGCCACAGCTCACTAGGCTAATCCTCTGCCCGTGGCACTGGCACACCAGGTTCTAGTCCCGGTTGGGGCGCCGGATTCTGTCCCGATTGTTCCTCTTCCAGTCCAGCTCTCTGCTGTGGCCCAGGAAGGCAGTGGAGAATGGCCTAAATGCTTGGGCCCTGCACCCACATGAGACCTGGATGGAGTTTCAGGCTTCTGGCTTTGGCCTGGCCAAGTCCCTGCTGTTGTGGGCATTTAGGGAATGTACCAGAGGATGGAAGATCTCTGTTACTCTGCCTTTTAAATTAAAAAAAAAAAAAAAAAAAAAAAAATCAACTCTTAAAACAAAGGCTCAGTGACATTGCTAAGAGGATTACAAACTAGTGCAGGGAAATTTGATAATATCAAAATTCCAAGTGATTGACCTGTTATATATTCAGCTGTGTTCCTCCAAAATTCCCCAAATTAAAGTCCTAACCCACTATGCAATGGTTTGGGGACTGGCCCTTTAAAGAGGTACTTAAGGCTAAATGTGGTAATGGGGGGGGGGGGGTGTCCTAACTTAACAGGAATAGTATCTTTATCAGAAGAGGCACCAGCAACACAGAGAAGGCCATGAAGGGTCATGACAGGTGTTTGCAAGCCTAAGTGAGGCCTTAGGAGACATCACACATTGATCTTAAGACTTTTAGCCTCTAAAACCATGAGAAAAATACCACCAATCTGTGTTATTTTGCCACAGAATACTAATACATCCCCCAATGATTCAATTTCTAAAAATACCTTTACAAACTTATTTGCGTGCACGCATGGAGACGTTTGCATAGGGTGCTCACTTTGTCACTACTTACAAGAAGGAGCAGAGGTACCACAAGTGACTTTGAATTGGGAACCAGTAAAGTCCAGATGGAGACCCACACATGGTAATGCCCTGTAGCCAGGAGCAAGATGCACCTGCTGCTGTGAAGTGGCATCAAAGATGCAGCAAGTGGACAAAAGTCAAGATGCAGAACAGTGAGCACTGCTTGCTCACTTCTGATTAAAATGGTCTGTGAAATGTATGTGCATATATTCTTAATACATAGAAATATAGTAGTATTTATACAGAAAACTCTAGAGGAATATGAAAGGCTATAGTAACAGGAGACTGAGAATAGGTTAGGAATAAGACATTTATTTTTTTAAATGTATGATTATTTTTATTTACTGGAAAGGTAGAGTGAGAAAGTGAATGTGAGATATTTTCCATGTACCAGTTCACTCCCCAAATGCTCACAACAGCCAGGGCTGAGGTAGGCCAAAGCCAGGAGCCTGGAACTACATCTGTCTCCCACAAGGGTGGCAGAGGACCAAGCACTTGGGTCCTCATCAGCTACCTCCCAGGACACGTTAGCAGGAAGCTGGATTGGAAGCAGCCAGGACCTGAATCACCACTCCAATATGGGAGTGGCTTAACCAAATGGTGGCTTAACCTGTTGTGCCATAACAACTTGCCCCTTAGTTTTAATTATACACTCATATATACTATTTATGATTTTGCCATATGATGAATTTCTTAAAAAAAATTAACAGAAGCCTACCCCAAAGGGGGTTCTTCATTATTTCTGCTTATACATCTTCCACACACATCCCAACCCTGTGCTGTAGTTAGTGAGCACTCCTGCATCTCTTCCTAAATATATGCTGCAAAATGGATGTCAGTACAGAAAACACACTAATCATATGAAGTACCACAAATCTTCGGCATAGCTTTCCTAATAATTCCTGTATTTCCAACGTTAACTTTGCTTCCTCAGTTTAAATAATATAACTGCAAAGAATTAAAAGCAGGACACAAATGGCTACGGCACAGAGAAAATCACTCCCTGCTCTTTACTCTTACCTTTTCTGTGTCCTACACATGCTTATCTTTGCCTGATCACATTGTTAGGATGAAAAACTGTGTGTGTGGTTTGTAGATATTTACTGTCTCCTAAACTCCTCTGTGGCACCTATTTTTAACTATTACAAATGTATAGCTCATCAGATGCAAAATAAGAACAAAGAAAATATTTACCAAAGATTTCAGTTGTTAGAATTAAATTAATTCTTGTTGAAGGACTTGTGCAGAAAACAATAACATACCAAACTAAGGGTATGTTTATAACCTTTTCCAATTTACTGTTTGGATGAACAAAATGTTAAAAATGAAACAGGAATGCTTTCTCAGGGTGAAATACAAATAAAAGCAAAGAAAATATTCTAATAGCAGTAACAGCACTAACCTGATTCTTTGCCAACACCCATCTGGTTTCCAACAGACTCGACTACCTGTCTAGAAGAAAGTGTTTTCAAAGCGAGGTAGTCATAGCCTGCATTTGTCAGCCGATAGCCCTGGACAGCTAGACAAAAAGGAAGAATTTTAAGTTTAGAATTTCTTATATTAATTTGACCAAGACTTTTCGCTTATTTGTATCCATTTTTCACCTCATTTTTATAGCAATTATTTTTTAGTGTATTTTATAAATGTAAAGATCTGTGATAGGTCTGAAAAACCCTCATCCCTCCCCACAGAAAGTCTGACATGTAATGCCAGAGTGAGCTTTGTGGCAGATTGTACTTTCCAAGGCTGGCAGCAATAAGCTCTCTATTCCACTTGCTATTCTGCAGTGTGACCTTGCCACTCCTTTCTCTGGCCTCCCTTTTGGCCTGGGTGGGCCCTGTGACGCATTTGACAACAAGAATATGATAGAAGTAATAGTGCTTTACTATTAGTTAAATTGGTTTAGTGCTTTAGTAGTCTGGCAACTTCTACCTGTTGCTTTTGGAACACCTGCTGTGGAGGAAACCAATTACCTGAAAAAAATCACGAATTCTGTCTTAAAACATACTTACTTTTGGTACGCTCCCAGGCTATGAGTTTATGTTTCACTAATTCTCTTAAAACTTTATTACAGCCACCATGTTTAAGGCTGGCTATAGAAGCAATCAAACTGCAGGGAACTATTTCATGGTTCTTCATGCCCATTTCAACCTGAAATGAAAGGAATCATTATATGATCATAACTACCATAAAGCCTTGTCTACCAAAATTCTGTAAGGGATATATTCTGAGACATGGGTCATTAGGCAAGTTTTGCACTTTCACAAACTAAGACACCTGCTATGTCACTAAGTGATACAATCTTGCGGAATCCCTGTTGCATATGCAGTCTGCCATTGACCAGAACATCTTCTGGGGAGTCATGATTATGAAACAAAATTACCATCAGTTATAATTTGATATGTAATCACTAACAACATATCTCTACTGCACTTCAAGGGTACAGATTCTGAGTCCTTGGCATAGATAATGATACGAGATAGAGCCTAAAATACCTGCTGACATCTAAACAGTTGTCTTGAAAAACTATAAATGTTTTAGTGATAATCAAAGGAAGGACTTCAAGGGCTTTAAGAAGTTTTGCATTTTGATGTAGGAGGGCAAAAGGAGAGAGGAATTTAAGCTGGAAGTGAGGAGGAAGAGTACAATTTAAAATTATGTTTTTTGGTAGTTTGGGAAACAAGGAAGAGGGTAAAGTTGACTGATTTGGTTTGAGCACATAAAAGTCAATTGCAGATGTTTATAGGGAAATTGGGAACTTAGGAGTCAACTCATAATTGGGGAAACAGGGTCAATTTTTTGGTAGAGATGAAAGATGAGACTGTAAAGTGGATGCCATCACCAAGAAATAATGGAACAAAAGGAAAGGCTGGTGAAAGAATTTTGCAGGAAATTCACATTGAAAGGTAAGGCTGGGCCAGTGTTGTGGCACAGCAGGTTAATCCTCTGCCTGTGGCAACGGCATCCCATATGGACACTGGTTCTAGTCCTGGCTGCTCCTCTTCCAACCCAGCTTTCTGCTATGGCCTGGGAAAGCAATAGAAGATGGCCCAAGTCCTTAGATCCCTGCATCCGTGAGGGAGATCTGGAAGCAGCTCCTGGCTCCTGGCTTCGGATCAGTGCAGCTCCGGCTATTGCGGTCAACTGGGCAGTGAACTAGCGGATGGCAGACCTTTCTTTGTCTCTCCCTCTTGCTGTCTGTAACTCAACCTCTCAAATAAATAAATAAAATATTAAAAAAAAAAAGGTAGGGCAAACAAATCATATATAAAGAGACAAAGAAATTAAAGGGAAGAAGAGGGTAAGAAAAGGTGTTGGCAGTGGTGAAATTCAACTGAGACTGGGCTGTCATGTTTAATGGCTGGAGTATTCCTTGGTGGGCTCCAGAGATTGTTTTAATTTTTCAAATATTTATTTATTTATTTGAGGGGCAGAATTAGAGAGAGAGACAGAGAGAGAGAGGTCTTCCATCTGCTGGTTCACTCCCCAAATGGCTGCAACAGCTGGAGCTGGGCTGATCTGAAGCCAGGAGCTTCTTCTGGGTCTCCCATGTGGGTGTAGGGGGCCAAGCACTTGGGCCATCTTCCACCGCTTTCCCAGATGCATTAGCAGGGAGCTGGATGGGAAGTGGAGTGGCTGGGACTCATGAGGGATGACGGCACTGCAGGCGGAGGCTTAACCTTACTAGGTTAAGTGCTGGCCCCCTTAGAAAGAATTTGAATATTAAGAGTCCAAGTTTGGAAAGATAAATCTGTCATCATTTTGATGTCCCACCAAACTTCACACTTTAACTTAATTCATCTTGCACACTTGGACCCTGTCTCTCCAGGATCTAACACTATTCCTCGTGACTGTGAGAGGCAGTAAGGAATGGATCAATGTGCTGAGCAAGCAGAGAAGGGAGCTATCTTTCAGAGGTGATCGTAGGTAATTACACAAAGACCAGTTGACCTGAAGGATGTATGAGAGAAAGAAGAGTGTCTTCGAATTTCATATAGATTTTTGTCTTTGATAGTTTAATCCTTGGGTATTGCTATTTAAGGCTCATTTCCAAAATCCAACATAAAACCTTAAAAATAGTACAAGAACCAGTGTGACTCATATGACATGCTTGAGTGCCATCACATAATGACACCATACAGAGTCTTCAGCATGGGGCTCACTCCTTATCAAACCATAATGGGTCCTAAAGAAAAGTACTGGCTTCGTTAACGTCACTGATCTCTGTGCCTTGACCAGAAACGTTCAGTGGCTCCCGGTCCCCTGCCACCTTTACCAAGCCTGAAAAGCTGTATGGTACATAATCGGGCAACGACTTTCCCAGGTATGTCTCCAATCTAAGCTCACTCCGCCCCAGTCACGCCGGTCTTTCCTTTCTTCAGGGATTTCCCACCATAGGGTCTTGCTCTTGTCACTGCCCCCAACTTCTACAGCTGAGCAGGCTCCTTATTAACTTCTCATTCATTTTTTCACGTAGCAGGATATTAATTTATTGCCTACCAAGAGACAATAACTTAAACAAAAACAAAACAAGAAAGTCCTGTGGACCTTGGTCACAACCGTAAACAGACGAGACCCTCGCACGCGGGGAGTCTTCCCCGACTACACAATTCAACGACAGCACTCGCCGCACCCTCCGCCGGACGCCCAGAGCCTTGCATTCCCGCGTCCTCTCCCATCTTCACGGCCCTTACTCCCTGATACCGTCCAGTTCGCTATGAAAAGCCCCGGCAAACGTGCTGAGAGAATCTTAGGTTAATACTGGGACCTGAGGATGCACTCAGAGGCACCGAGTGTCCTCGGGACGGGACTCAAACCCTTCCGGCTGCCGGAAGCCCGAGGCAGAGACCAGGCCACGGCGAGGCGAGCGTCTCTCCAGCTCGGGGAGAGACCAGAAGGGAAGGAAAATGACTAGGAGACGGGGCCTTGGCGCTCGCTGGGGGACGACAAATGCCACACATAAGCCCTGTAAAAATCCGACTCTCCAGGGCTCTTTTCCCGGTTCCCAGCGTCGGCGCGTCCGCAGGCGCGGGGCGCGCCGGCTCAGCTCTGTCCATCTGAAAACGCACCGTCGGGAAGGTCACAGGGGAAGCGTTTCTTACCGCTGTCAGGACCCTGAAGTCATCCCGGCTCATGTAGCGCAACTTGGCCACATTCACCTTGCCCATGGCGGCGGCTCCACAGCCAGCCCGGCGCGCAGCGCACGGCCTCCCGCGTGCGTGACGGCCGCGCGTCGCCTGCGCATGCGCCGGCGTGCGCTCCAGGTCCTTGTCGCGGAAAGAAGGCGCTCTGGTCCCCGGGGCGTGCTGGAGTGAGGCGTCGCCTGTGTGATGGAGCGCCGGGCGGGGAACAAGGGGGCGTTTTATTTGCCATCGATTTTGCGTGGAACTGAGTTGGTGGAGTGTAAATGCTCTCTACAATTCGGCGTTTTGTTTTTCACACCTGTCAGGACTGGCTGCCTTGAGGCTGTGTTTCGCCTCAGCGGAGTGGTGACTTTACGGCAGGAACTCATGTTATCCCGAGTCCCAACAAGAGAGCTGGACTGAACTGGAGGGAGACCAGAGACGACGACTGTAATTCCTAACTGCACCCCTTAGGGACACGAAATCGCGCGGCTCAGGAGAACGTTTTCGCGCTTGCTCGCTTACTACCTCAAGAATGCGCCTGCCGGGCGGGGGTTTAAGCCGAGAGTGTGGGCGCTGTGACGTCATTTTCCCGCGCGCATTTTGCCCGGAAGTGGGTGCTTGCTTGGTTGTGGGCGGAGCTGTACCAGTAGTACTTGGAGGCTCGAGGGCTTTACTCTGGCTCTGGGCCTTACAGAAATGGTGACTGGAGCAGGATTGAAAGCAGTTTTGCACCCAGGCAAATGGACGCGCACTCTACCCTTCCCTCCAACATCAGGACCAGCGTAACAACACGTGTGTGACGTGTGTCCTCGAAGGTCATGCACTGTTTTAAACTTGTGAACGATTAACACCTTGCTACACTCACCCCGTAATGGTGAATGCTACGTATTGTTACGGAGCATTCTGGTCCACCTCAGCCTTGACTTACTCCCAATCCCTGGTGTTTAACCGCTCTCTGGGCCCTAGGAATTCGGTGTTTACATGGCTCCATCTTTTTCTGGCTTCCACAGACTGATGTGCTGATTTCCCGCCCCTTCAAGTCCCGTCCTGCGTGCGCCGCTCCGTCCAGAGCTAGAGCTTATACAACAAACTTGTTGTCTGGAGGCAGGCAGCTGATTGTGATCGTCCCTTTCCACTGGGTACTCGGTGTTCTGAAATCTTGAAATGGAAAAGGAAGAACGGCCCTTTACCCCCACTATTTTCCAGTCTCGGGCTGCTGCTTACTTGAACGCAACAGTCCATGATTAACCATGATCAACTGGTGAACATCTCCATTTGTACGACTTTTTTCTTTCTGTACTTCACATAGAAATGCTAAGATTTAAAGGAACCAAATGACTAACTTCTAGAGCAACAATGGAGTGGTGAACACTATTTGGGTGTCAACTAATTCAGCACTTTAGCAGACATTGCCAAACTGTTATAGCACAATCCATACTTCACAGCACTGCTTCGGACAGCCACTACTAACTGACTAGATATGGCTAGAATTGCTGAATCAGAGTGTGCTGTAGGATCAATCACATTGAATGCAACCTCTTACTTTCAATATTAATTTTTTAAATGAAATCTTCATGATCAGACCATCAAAGAGTAAAGGTAAGTAATTAAAGTTCAGTTTGTTATTCTATTCTACTCTAGTATTCCATGCTTAAGTGATGACTTAAACAGAAAATGTGCAATAGTCTTCATCTACCATTTATCAAACGCATATGCCAGCCTTTTTGCTAGCTCCTCACTCAATCCTAAGCCTTAAATTTAATGGTGGATGGCAGTGAATTAAAAGATTAGAGTATATGTGACTTAGGTGCAAAGAGTTTATCATATCATTATTTACTGCTTCCAGATTCCAACTACAATCACTCACTCACTCTCTAGCATGTACGCACACCCCTGTCCCTTACACACTACAGAGATCTTGGCTGTCTACAGATTAAAGTTCAAACTCCTTAGGATGGCATCCATTCTCTAACAATCTGTATCATTACTTTCAAGTAGCTTTTTTTTCTTCATGCAACTCCCTTTATTACCTTCCTCACTATTTCCACCTGTAATGCTGCCCTCGCTCTTTTTTCTGGTCATGATATACATGAGTTCTACAATTTGTGGCAAAATTTAAACAAGGAGACTGAGTTAAAAGTTTAAGTTCAAAGGGAAGAAAAATTGTGTATTTATGATTAAGATACCATACTAGCTAAAACTCATGAAAGTTGTGAAATACTTTACCACACAAAGGCTGTGTGTGCTGTACTTTTGTGTGTTAGGGATATCAGTGGTGAGGAAGCACACAGTATGAATTATGTAGATATGTGGAATTTGCAGAGTATTCCAGTGAGGGACTTACAATTCAGACTTGGATGTTCTGGAGTGTAGTGGAATACGCACCAGGAATTATCGTATAACTGTTGAAAAACAGCTCCTGGCATACTAGATTCCTTGGGAAATGGGTTGCCTAACATTGATCTGTCAGGTGATAGTGTGCTCACAATTGTGCTGCACAGACTGGTTTTGTCACGTGTTATAAAGCGGAGGGGGGGGGTTCAGCAGCAGTCTGTCATAAGATGAAAGTGATACATGTAGAACTAAGCACAAATTAGATGAGAGGGCACAAACAAGCATCATGAACAGGTAGCCTGGACTTTCCTGTGTCATGAGCTACTGTTGACCAAGTTTATACCTCCCTGGGGCTCCCTTGTGATCAATGAGTTAAAGAAAATCCACATTTGCTTATGGACAGGTTACTTTGATACCTGTGGCTGAACTGTAGTCCCACTTGTGTAACCTTGGAAGATAAGGGAATATCCTCCCAATGGGTGGATCTTTGGAAGGTACACTTGATCATCTGCTTTGTATATCAAGAGAAATAGCTCAAGTTTAAAATATACATGGGTTTAGGATAGGGTGAATATCTTGACTGAATGGTTAGAGATGTGGAATGAAAAAAATAGACAGATTGAGGAAATTGGAGATAGGCATAAAGCTGTTTATGGGAGTGAACAAGAAATGTTTTGTGTAGTAACACCTACCCAAAAGCATCTATCACAGAAAAGGCACTGATAAACTAAATAATAAACAAGATAAACTAAAACCTTGTCTGGTTGTCAGAGGCAGTCTTTGTCATTGCAGTCCACTGCCCCAGTGAAGGTAAATTGGTACACAGATGAATTAGTGGTATATCAAGGATGGACAAGGCTATGCATGGGTCTGACCATATGGATTCCAACTTACCAAAGGTAGAACTGAAGCTCCTGAATGTCCAGTCTGCCTTCAGCAGACAGTTATGTTGAATTCCCAGTATGATGCCATCTCTTAAGGAGACTAAACAGTTACTTGGTGTCAAATTGACCACCTTGGACTCTTTCTACCGTACATTGGCCAAAGCTAGAGATTCATATTGATATTAATAGATATATATGGGCATATGTTTACTTTTCCATTCTGATGGGGCTACTCAGAAGCTGTATGACAGGATGATGGGAGAGTCTGTTGAAGGACATACCTGTTAAGTCACTGCTGAAATACCAACTTAAAGAAGTACCTTGTGACTTTGGGTTGCTGTTCACCAAGAGAACAATAACTTATTTGTGGCCCCCAACAGGAAGAATACTTGGGTCTGGAATCAAGAGTTGGAAATCAAGTGTTGGCTCCAGATACTGTCATTGTCAGTGATTCACTTGGGGGTCCAAATGTGGGCTCTCAGGGTTTAAAAGTGTTGGTTTTCAGGGGCCCGCATTGTGGAGTAGTGGGTGAAGCTGTTGCCTGTGATACCAGCATCCCATAAGGGTGCTAGTTCAAGTCCTTGCTGCTCCACTTCTGATCCAGCTCCCAGCTAATTCATCTGGGAAAGCAGTGGAAGTTGGGCCTCTGCACTCAAGGGGGAGACATGGGTGAAGCTTCTGGCTCCTAGCTTCGGCCTAGCCCATCCCTGGCCATTGAGGCCATCTGGAGAATGAACCAGCGAATGGAAGTACACTTGCTCTCTTTTTGTCTCTCCCTGTCTTTCCCTGTAACTCTTACTCCCTCTGTAACTCTTTCTAATAAACAAATAAACCTAGAGCTGGTGCTGTGGCGCATCAGGTTAAAGCCCTGGTCTGCAGCACCTGCATTCCATTTGGGCACCGATTTGAGTCCTGGCTGCTCCACTTCTGATCTAGCTCCCTGCTAATGCACCTGGGAAAGCAGCAGAGGATGGCCAAGTCCTTGGGCCCCTGAACCCACATGGGAGACCCGGAAAAAGCTCTTGGCTTCAGATTAGCTCAGCTCTGACTATTGTAGCCATTTGGGGAGTGAACCAGTAGATGGAAGACCTTTCTCTCTCTGTATCTACCTCTCTCTGTAACACTTTTAAATAAATAAAATATATCTAAAATTAAATAAATAAGCCTTAAAAAAAAGAAAAAAAAGAAGTATTGGTTTTCAAAGGAATGCTCCCACCAAGGGAGCCAGCCAGAATGCAGTTGAACAATAAGCGGTGGCTGCCATTTGTTCTTCAGACTACTTGTTTCAAGAAGATATGGCAGGAGGGGGCATGGACACCTTGGGATGAAAAAGATCTGAATTACGCAACCAGACAAACCATGGATGATAGCAGGCACACCAGCAGTGGGTGATAGGACTCTAGAATGGAAAGTATGGAAAGTATGTAAAGATAATAATGAGTATCAATCACAGCACAAACCCAGTTGCAGTGTGGGTTACAGCTTGTTGTATTTACATTCCTCCCCCAAGATTCCCCATGAATGGATGCTCACTGGAATCTTGAAGGAGTTGCTTCCAGAACTTAAAGAAGTGGATCCAAATAGCATAAGGGTTGGACAGTGGTGGATACTGTGATGTATATCACCTAGGTAGCCCTCTTTAGGAATGAAGGGATTATTCCCCAAGCCTCTGGGAATGCTACCAGCAGAAAGTGCTTAACTTCCAGCCAGTGTTGTAAATTTAAAAAGTTTCGTATCTGTCTGATGCCTCAACATCCCCATTAACAGTCCGTGAGCACTCTGCCCAGGCAACTAGATGCACCAGTGTGATAAGGCTGTTCCCTTCCACAAATTCTCCTTTCCTCTCTTCCCCGTAGCCTAAAGACATTCAAAACACCCAGTGAGATCTGCCATCTTTTGCTGTGTACTCCACTAT